AGAAAGAGAGAAAGAGAGAAAGAGAGAAAGAGAGAAAGAGAGAAAGAGAAAGAGAAAGAAAGCACATATAACTATTTCCCTCCCAAAAAATCCCCACAGGTTTCAGAAAGGATACTGGCCAAAGTGTTCATTTTGCTGTGAATCGACTTCAACATTCCTCTCTGTGAAGTCATATTTTCTTTTGTTGCCATAGCAATGCTGCAAGGGAGAAGAGAAGCTAATTAAACTGGCATTTAAGGTCATCCTGCATGGAGCCATCATACCCTTGAAAGTGAGCAGAAAACTAAGGTGAACAACATCATCTTGAAAAGCACTGGGCAGAAAAATGAAAAAAAAAAATCACTTCCTAAGTCACTTTCCCATTGTCCTTTTTCTGAATGACCACTCCATCCCCACTGCCGCCCTCTGATGTCTTTGGGACAATAAGCCATTTCCTGTGTTTTTTCCCCAAAGTAACAAACGAAATAAGACATTAACAGAGAAATCATAGACAAATATTATAAGAACTTCTTAAAATGGTTTTAAAACCATTTTAAGCCATTTAGAGCCAGCTACTAAAATATCCTTAATCAGGAAAAACTGTTGAGAGGGAAGTAGGGAATACAATCATAAAAACAGAACCAAAAGTGTAACATATCACAAAATATTCATATACAATAAGCCTTCAATTTATGAAAAGACTATGTTCCAAAATTCTACTTGAGAACATACCAAGCAGATTTTAGGACACACTTGCAACAATTATGCTGGATTTCTAAGCCAGGTGACAAAGGTCACAGATTCATCAAACTACTGAGAGAGAAGGAAAAGCCACTTTTTGCAGAGTATAGTCTCTTCTCTGTGACTACTTTGACATCCTTTTAAAAAGAATCTCAGTTAACATCTTTTTGCTATCACTGCCAGGATTATTCACTTCCAACAGTCTTATCTCCCTGGACATTACAATCCTAGAGTATGGGGTCAGTATCCATTTTCATATGTGACACACGGGGCACTGTTTTAGATACTGACATGATAAAAAGCAACAGGAAACAGAATGTTTTTGAGTAATTCTGAAAATATGTGAAACATTTCTTTTAAAGGCTATTGCTTCTGAAGAGCTTCTGGGAAGATGGTGGTCATAACACAAATTCCTGACCTCATCTCTGTCCCAATTACCCCCCTGGGGAACACAAAAACAAAGGCAGACATGCCGGGGACAGCACATTTGCAGTCCCAAGTTCTCTTGAGATCTCCAGGGAAGAAAGCCAGGGAGGGCTACACTCTCTCAAGCAAGGGAAGAACCAGGGTTTGAACTGATGGCAGGAAGACTAGATTTACTTCCAGGCTGGGGCCAAGGCCTAGGTTTCACTGCATCCTGAGGAGCTCTGACAGTAGAAGAAACAGGTCTGCATGTACAGGGGCTGCAGTGATGGACTGAACTGCCCCCAGGCCCTGCAGCTAGAAAAGGACTGCCACATATGGCCAGAGAGCCCTGTAAGCAGGAGGCTGACAGTGTACCAGCTGGTGTGATGCCCAGCCCCTAGGAGGAAAAGCTGCTGGGCCATCCACTAGCACCTGGTATGACATTGCTTTAGGGTCTCTAACAGCCTGACGTTTCGGGAAGCTGACAACACATTTTTGGACAGGCAGGACCTAGTAGTATACTGCTGGGGCAAAATGGCAGGCAGAGTACTACAAGCAAATGACAAAGGAATCAAAACTGAAATTTCAAGATCTGAGAAGGCAAAAAAGAAAAAAAACAGTGTATAAGAAGATAAATAAAAGGGTATTTATTGAAGCATTGTTTAGAATAGTAAAAGATAAACCCCACCATCTCCCCCCCACACCCCCCAAATTGGAAACAACACTAGAATAGCTTACAGTGGTTCTCAACCTTCCTAATGCCACGACCCCTTAATACAGTTCCTCATGTTGTGGTGACCCCCAACCATAAAATTATTTTCGTTGCTACTCTATAACTGTAATTTTGCTACTGTTATGAATCGTAATGTAAATATCTTTTTGTTTTCCGATGGTCTTAGGCGACCCCTGTGAAAGGGTTGTTCGACCCCCAAAGGGGTCACGGCCCACAGGTTGAGAACCACTGGTTTAGTAGGTTATGGTATAATCATTATGAAATAATACTTGGTTATTAAAAATAAGTTGGGTGTTATTTCTATTAATCTGGAGGGGTGTTTATGATATACTGAATGATTAAAACAAGCGCCAGAATATGTAGAGTATGAGTCCTTTTTTAAGAAACAATTGAAACATCTCTGTGTATGTTTGCATGACAGTAAGAAAAGTATTAGATACACAACTGCCAGTTAATACAAGTTACTTTAGGGGGAGGAATGGAGGGGCACTAACCAGGAGATGAACCTTTTTTCTTTATACATTTATAGAATTATTTAAATTGTTACAATAAAAACATTGTACTTTTGTAATATATAATTAATTATATATATTTATATATAATGATACTTTGTATCATTAGTTCTTATAATTTTTCAGTTTAAGTATATGTCTATAACAGAATATGAAACATTTAAAATGTGGTTGCTTTAAAATAAATTTACTTCACAAGGTATTTTAAAATAGGTATTATGGTCTTGTATAAAGTAACAGAATTCAAACCTGGGTGGAGCAATCTGAGGCCAATCTTTGAATCATATATGCCTCTGTTTTATAAACTGGGACTATCACCATCTCCCATGCACTTTGACTCAGAAGTAGATACAGAAGATTAAAAAGTAATTTCCACAAAGCACTTTGCATTCCTTGGAGAATGGATATTATCAACATACATTATGTTATTATCTTGTTGAATATGCATGATTTCCAGTACCACACAAAGTACATCTAGACATACTTTCCCATCTCATTCCATCACTGGGATTCAAGCTGAGTGAAATCTAGTAGCTGTTGTTATTTCAAGGTTCAAATACTAAGAGGCAAAACGTAAGCTCCAAATAATATATAATGCTTTTAAAATGATAAATCATTGATGTGCTTACTGGAACTTCAACTTTCTTACCTGTTCTGTGAACTACTCACACACATATATTTCCAACAAAAGACAATACTAGTTATACATTTAAAGCTTAAGAATTTATAAATATTAAAAATATTAGTTCTTGTCAATACATTGATGCCGAAGTTTATAATCAGTTTTTTTTGTTTTTAAATTGGGGAACAGCCATGGTCATTGGTTACACATTGCTTTCATGCTACAGTGGCACAGTTGACTCTTTTTTTTAAGGAGGGCACAGCTCACAGTGGCCCATGTAGGGACCGAACCAGCAACCTTGGTGTTATGAGCACCATGCTCTAACCAACTCAGCTAACCGGTCACCCCAAGCTGTGTACATCTTTTTAAAATGTATCACAAAAAGTAAAATTTTACATATAGAATATACAAAAATAATTATTTGACACTTAAAAATTGTATATTGTCCATAAGTAATCATAACTAGCTTTGTAGTCAATGAAATTTCACTTGTGATATCTATCATATTTTGAAACAAAGGGAACAAGTGAAATAAGAGACCTTCTAATCAATGTTTTTTTGCTTTTTGACTAGCAAAATAATAGGACCAGTGATTCAATGGTTCTCAAATGTTCCTAATCTACTAGGTATTCAAATTTTTATACTCATGTATTACCCTTAACTAGACCAGCTTTGAATTGGAAAGCTTAGCCTGGCCCAAGAAGATCAGGTAGAAAGAGGAAGAAATAAAAGGAAGAAAAAAATAAAAAGGGCTATAGGGAATCTCTGGCAAAATGTGATCTGATCTTATGTGCTGATGAAAGAGAAAGCATCACAAGGAGATATTTCAGTTAACAATTAGACAATTTGGTAAAAACTTTGTTCAGATGGAAGACTCAGTGCATGCAATTTAAACAAAATTCCAAGATACAACGACTGCATATTATTATGAGATTCTAATTTACTAAGATTATTAAATAATAGTAGAAACTTATAACCCACCAAATAAAATAAGAATCCATATCAGTATAAATAAACATTTAGGATATGAACACTGAAATATTTAGGGGTAAAGAGGCATCATGTCTGCAAGTTGTTGTCCAGTAGTTCAGAAAAAAATTATGAAAAAGCAAATGTGACAAAATGTTAACATTTGGGAAATCTAGGTAAAGGGTATATTGGCATTCTTTGTATTATTGAAACTTTTCTGAAATGATATCAAAATAAAAAGTAAAAAAAAAAAATTGATACTAGAGCTACCATTTACAGATTACCTGGTATCAGCCAGGTATTGTACTAGGCATTTTACTCATATTATCTGCTTAATCTTAGGGTATGTATTATCATCAATTCCATTATTTTTAAACACATAAGAAAATGAAGAGCCCAAGTAATTTAGTCAAGAACAGAGATCTAATAATAGCACTGCTAGGTTTCAAACCATACCGCACTCCAAGCTTGTATTCTTTTCTACAAGATGGTAAACAAATACAGTAGTGGTTCAGTTAAAACTCTGGTTCTACAGTTAGAGAGGCTCAGGTTTGAGGACCTGAATCTTTAATACTATTTGTCAGTCATGTGACCATCGGCATCTAACTTACCTTAATTTTCTGTTGTTTTTGGAGATAATTTTCTGTTGTTTTTGTCTAAAGATCAGTGTCTATCTTATGGGTTATTGAGGAGATTAAATAAAACATGTAAAGCACTTTAGCACAATACCAAGGCCTATGGTAAGAATCCCCTTGTTTGTTTTTCCCATGTATTTCATTCTACCTTTCCTGAAAAACAATGCTTTAGACATTGCTGAATTCTAATGTGTAGAGACTATACCTAGTTAACTTACTTTCTTACTGTCCTAAAATCAGTATTGAAAACTCGCTAAACCTAGAGAATTCAGCAGTTCAAACCAACAAATAAATGTCCCTACGTTAGGCAAAAAACGACTTTAATGCTAATACAGATAATACTAAATCATTACAGCAGATTTTCTATAGCTGTTGTAACAGAAACCAAGTCTACATAAATGGTATAAATAAGGCATTTACTAAATCCCATGTTTAAGATTGGTTTCCATTAAAATATGAGAGTAAAAAGATTGAGGCTGAAAATATTGAGTATGAATTAATCAGAAAGCTCAACCTTCATAAAACAGCCTAATTCTAGTAATTCTGGAAACAAATGTTTTGGACTTCAGCTATCTCTTATAAGAGAAAGACACAGTAAAAATACATTACCATTTAATGAAATTCTCATTTTTGAGGAGGATGAATTAACTTTAACTCTATTATAGACTTAACCTGATGTGTTCCTTTATGTGCCAAGAAACAAAAAAAACACAATAAAGTAAAACAAAAAATTTTCCTACCTTATTGTCTCTTCTATCAGACGGTCTGAGCTGCAATAAAAAGTAAATTCAAATTCTGTAATTATTAAAAGCACATTTAAAACTTGTACTTTATTTTTCTACATTTTATAGATAAACTTTTCAGCCATTTATTCAACAGAATATCCAGACTTTTGAAAGCATCTGAAAAAATTCTGGATCTGAAATAAATTTAATTTATCCACATGTGTAATTTTCACCTTTCTTTTATTTGTTGGCTTAAATCTATTTCTTCCACAGAGGAACTTAATGATTAAAGTCAGAGCTGTTTTAATGTCAGCATAAATAAATGAAACTTCTTTAATCTCGATAGCTCAAAGTTGTCACTATCATCTATTCTAAACTTAAGAATTACAACTTTTTGAGACAGGATAGGTAAATATAGTTCTGATGCCTAGAAGTAATAATTATTTACACTTTAAAGTTCCTTCCTTTTTTGGGAAACTAAACTGAATCTCAGCTTACCACACTTTAGAATTCACGAATCTGAATAAAGAAACCAAATACACCTTTGATCTATAAAATATTTGCTTATGTGCATCACATACTGGGAAGAAACTACCTAAAAAAAACGTTTAGGGAGGAATTTATAGGCAGCTAAGTTTGGTAATGGGGCAGCTTTACAGCAGGAAGTAGGAAAACAAACTCCCAGACATCTGTATCCATCTGGAATAGTACATGGTACACAGCAGGCACTTAAATAAATACTTGTATATATTTTTTCCAAATACTTCTTTACCAAAGAATTTCTAAACAGAATAAAATGAAAACAAACTCACAGATAGATATGGACAACAGATTGGTGGTTGGCAGAGGGAAAGCAGGGGAGGGCGAAATGGTTAAAGGGGGTCAAATACATGGTGACAGATGAAAACTAGACTTTTGGCGGTGAGCATGCTGTAGTATATACATATATTGAATTACAATGTACAACTGAAGTTATATAGTGCAATAAAGTATCACCTCAAAAATAAATACATACATAAATAAATTCTAAGTTTATTATTTAAACTAATAATTTGAAGCTTTACTATAAAGTAGTGGATCAGGAAATCTAATTTACTGCATGAATTAGAGAACAAAGATGGGCTTTAAAAATGTATATCTTATATAAATCCTACGATTAAGAATTTCAAAAATTACAAGACGGTAAAGAGATTAAGAGCCAGGCTGTGTGGCTTTTTGAATGCTGGCTCTACCCCTGATTAGCTCTGTGACATTAGGCAAGTTACTCTATGCCTCATCTTTCTCATCTGTAAAATGGCAACGATAGTAAGACCTACTTGTTAAGAGAAGTTTATATATATAGTGATTGCAACAGTACCTGGTACATAGTAAGCAGTAAGTACTTTTTGCTATTATTACAGTAATTTCTCAATAACTACAGACTATTTCTAAATCTAAGCATAAAGTTAATATAAATTTCCAAATAAACCCACCATTCTGGTGAAATCTACTGATTACAAAGTGTTCATTTATTTTGTTAACAAACATGTATGGAAGTGCCCCTCGAAGGTACTGGGTCAGATGTGGCTACAAAGATAAGGCACTAACCTCTATGGATATAGAGCTAAACAACACATATGCTTACAGGTGTCTTGGTAAACTGGTCACAAGGTCATAAAAGAGGGTGTGGTTAACTAGACGTGGGTGAATACTTCCTTGTTCAAAACAATTGTTTGGTTGAGTGTCCTCACCAGAGCTTCTTAGTACATCAAAGGACATAAAAATAAGACAAAGTCATGGCTCCCTTAACGGAAATGCATCATTAGGTGATTTCATTGCTGTGCAAATATCATACAGAGAGTGCACTTACACACAACTAGCTGGTAGAGCCTACTACACACCTAGAATATACGGTACAGCCTATTGTTCTTAAGCTACAAACCTGTACAGCATATTACTGTACTGAATACTGCACACAACTGTAATATAATGGTAAGTATTTGTATATCTAAACATATCTAACTATAGAAAAGGTACAGTAAAAATATGGTGTAAAAGATAAAAAATGGTACACAATTTATTCAGTCTATTCACAGGTGTCAGGATGGCTCAGATAAGAAAAAAAAAAAGTACCATATTCACAGGTGTATAGGGCACGTACCATAAATGGAGCTGGCAGGACTGGAAGTAGTTCTGGGTGAATCAGTGAGTGAGTTGAGTGAGTGAGTGAGTGAGTGAGTGAGAGGCGAGTGAGTGTGAAGGCCTAGGTCATACTGTACAGTAAGTACTCAGACTTTATAAACTGTCCCATGAACCCTCCACCTGCTTCCTTCCCACAGGGTCAGAAACAGAACATCGAAGCTGTCGGTGCTGCTCCATGAACAGGCGTGGGTCAGGCTGACTGGAAATATCTAGGAGAAACTGGCTGGGTGAGGCACAGATCACAGTATCAGTGACTGTCAGGAGTGAAAGGTGGCCTGAGGATCAGCAGGAATAAGAAAGCAAGGTGGAGAGATAAAGGAATATCGGGGATTGTCATGGCTACTGCATGTTGGAGCAATGGTCAGGTTAAGGAACTCTGTAGTAGTCATTAAAAAAGGGGTGTTTAATGTTTATTGCAGCACTATTTACAATAGCCAAGACTTGGAAACAACCGAAATGCCCATTGGTAGGCGACTGGATTAAGAAACTGTGGTATATTTATACAATGGAGTATTACTCCACTATAAAGAAGGAAATCGTACCATTTGCAACGATATGGATGGACCTAGAGACTATTACGTTAAGTGAAACAAGTCAGTCGGAGAAAGACAAATACCATATGATCTCACTTATATGTGGAATCTAAAAAACTGAATGAATGAGCAAAGTAAACAGAAATAGTATCAGAGACATAGAGGAAAAACTGATGGTTGCTAGATGGGGCGGGGTGGGGATGAGGGAGAAGGTGAAAGGATTAGACAGCATAAACAGGTAACTACGATATTGCCACAGGGACATGAAAGATGGTTCGGGGAATATAATTAATAATGTTGTAAATATTTTGTAGGGTGTCAGATGGTCACATGTCTTGTTAGGGAGACCACTTCATGGACGGTGTAGAGGCTTGACCACAGCACTGTACACCTGAAGCTGACAATGAATAATGTTGTATGTCAACTATAATTGAATTTATATATATACATATATAGTCATGGGACGTGGAGTATAGTGTGTAGAGTGGAGTCAATGGAATTGTAATAGATATGTGTGATGTCCGGGGGGGGGGCGTGTAGTGGGGCGGTGGATTGGGGGAGGGGTGTTGTCACTTTGTGAGGGGTAAAAAGTATAACTATTGCACTGTTTTGTACACCTGAAACTAATTAAAAAAAAGGGGGGGGGATTTAACATGGAGAGGGTACAGAATTGAGGACTAATACTTTGACTTTGGAAATTTGTTTTTCGTTCCATTGATCCTATCTGGTAAAAAGGGCTCTCTCTGGCATTGAACTGATGGAAGGAATAAAACTTATCTCTGCTTTACATCATTTCAACCTGAAAATATTTCCAAAGTACAGGGACAGACCAGCTCCATATCACCACAGAAAGCTTTTACCAAAGTGGCAGTGGCATTTAATACTTGTTAGGGTAGCGCCTAAGGACCTGTGTCCTTGTACAGGATCTTAGGTTCTCAACAGTAATAAATAACAACATACTCTCAAGTTACAGCAATGTGCTCTGAAGATCATCCAGCTAGGTCTGGGAAGATGTAGCACCCTGAGTATGTAGCACTGGGGGACAGGCTCCTCTGACTGACTAGGAAGTAAGTTGCACTCAAAATTGAGGTGCTGTGAGTGAGAGGGATACTATTGCCAAGCCCCACAGATATTGCTCCCGGCATAGGAGAAAAAAAAAAAAATCCTCCTGAATCACATTTCCTTCCATTTCTTCCAGGAAATTCAGCTGCATTATAATCTTACAGGACCACCATCGCATAGGCAGTTTTTACTGACCAAAAAATGTCGTTACATGGAGTATGAGTGTATTTAAAATCCAGGAAGTATAATATAATAATAAATAATTCTATTGCCAAATTCAACAAACTAGTTTTGTGTTAATAGTTTTAATGAAGATAAAATCAATTAAATAAACTTGTAAGTGCAAAAGAGTAGACAATCTATTCATTGCTAACTTTGTTAAAACTAATGATACCTAATACTTATGGAGAGCTTATTATGAGTGATATTATTCTAAATGCCTTATTTGTAACTTCATCCTCACAACTCTATGACATTGATTCTACCATTCTCATTATTTACAGATAAACAAATTGAGGCCTAGAGAATTAACTCGTTCGTGGGCCACACAATCATCAGCACAGCTAGGATTTAAATCTGAGCAGTCTGACTTCAGAGATTTGGCTCTTACTGTCTTTTTTTTTTTTAAGATTTTATTGGGGAAATGGGGGAGGGGAACAGTTTTGGGGAATTGGGGAAGGGGACCAGCCAAGTTGTTGTTCTTCAATCTTCATTGTGGAGGGCGCCAGTCGTCATCTGGCGTCCCATTGGCAGCTCATGGCCTCTAAGCTCAAGGTGCTGTGTTCAGTCTTAGTTGCGGGTGGGCGTAGCCACCATCCCACGCTGGAGGTGAACCAGCAGACTTATTGTGAAGAGCACATGCTCTATCCACTGAGCCATCCGGGCGGCAGCTCAGCTCAAGGTGCCGAGTTCAGTCTTAGTTGCTAATGGGAGTATGTAGCCCACCATCGAACAGGCAATCTTGTTGTTGCACCAGCTGAGCCATCCTGCCACCTGTTGGCAGCTTAGCGACAGCTCAGCTCGGACGCAGCATCACTGGCCCATGTGGGAATTGAACTGGCGGCCCTGTTGCTCAGAGCTTGCGTTCTTAAGCCAACTCTTAACCAACTGAGCCACTCGGCCAGCCCTGGCTCTTACCATCTTGATAAATAGTACCTCTTTCCCCTCTCTTTCTCCACAATCAGTTCTGGTTTCCCCCAACTACTTCTAGATTATCACTCATCCCTACTCGAGCAAAAAGGTATACTCTGAGGTTCATTCTATTTCTCT